TCTGGCTGATGCAAGCTCTCCTACTTTGGTCAACCCTTCAGGCTTTGAGTCTCTCACGGTGTTGGGTGTCTCCAAAGTGCTCCTTTCCTCAGGCGAGGGGACAAAGACTTCAGGAAAGTCATCCGGGCAGCACGTGAAGGAAAAGGTTAAACCCACAGAGGCACCATAGAAAGCCCTAGGGAAGCTGAAGAAGTCCCGCTCATCCTTGGACACCGCATGATCCGCTAGAGGTCTTCCTGGCATTCCCAAAGCTCTAGGCGTACTTCTAAACGCAACCATCCCTCCTAAGTTTTTAGTCAATTGAAGTTACAGGGGCAGCCGCCTCCGGAAGAAATCAGTGTGCTGGATGTCTGCTGTGTGGTTTTGCAGAGGTTCTCCAAAGGCTGGTACCAGAGGCAGGGGGACAGCAGCGGTTAACTCAGGAAGGCTCACTGGCGACTGTGCTGGGAAGCTCATCCGAAGGGGGAACTGGTGACATCACAACTAATGCTTGGGACTGCCCAGATGTTCTAGCGGGAGCTCTCTCTGGATTTCCTCCTCTTGCGTGAAGGGCTAGTCAAACAAGGCTTCTCAGGGAAGGAGCGGGAGGAAGAGGGACGTCCCACGAGTACTCAGAGACTCACTGTACACCTGGCAAGAGCTGGCCCCCTTACGGAAGTGGAGTTTGGGAAGCACGGCCTCAGCTCTGGAGCAGCTACACACCACTTGCACTCTGGCCAAGGCCTTTCCATCTTTGCAGAAGAGGCAGGGGAGCCTGCAGGGTGCAGCACGGCCTGGGGAGGAACCAATAATAAAGCGTGTGGGCTTAATGGGATGGACCCAGCAAAAGCTGTCAACATCAAAAACGACACAGGCAGCCGAGCGGCTTAGACACATGCAGGGAGCAGGAACAGATGTGCGGCAGTCTCCACGATGACGTAAAAGCCCCAAGTCTACTCACATTTGCAACACCAAAGGAAGCATGAAGACGAGAGGAGGCTAGCCCTGTTCCAAGCTCACTTGATGGTCGACCCCCACAGCAGACCACAAAGCTAAGCCCGTAGCAACAACACTCCGCACAGGGTTGGGAGGGAAAGGGGAATTAACATACCCTGCACACCACTTGAAGAGACCTGCCACGTACGACGGTACCCCTGTGGACTGAAAGACACACTTCTCAAGCCACAAGCTCGACAGCAAGGAAAACAAGTGACAAATGAGCCAAGTTAAAACCCCATAGAAGGGGGGGGCACAGCAAGGAATGGTCAACCCTATTGCAGCTTTGCATCCAAAAGTCTTATTCCAAGAGCAGAAGGCAAATTTGCTCACGGAAGGTCTCCGGATTCCCAGGATTCCCTCCTCCAGCTACAGCCCCTTCTTCCAGGGGCCTAACCCTTCAGAGTAGCTTTCTGGCGGGGATGCAGTGGAATGGGGTGGGAAGTCCCTGTTGTGCAGGTAAGGTTGCCGTCCTCCAGGTGGGGCCTGGAGTTCTCCTGGAATTACAAGTGATCTCCAGATTACTGAGATTCGTTCCCCCGAAAAAAATGGCAGATTCGAAGGGTAGACTATAGAATTATAGTCCCCCCCTCCAAACTTTCCCCTCCCCATCGGCGTCCCCAAATCTCCAGGAATTTCCCACGCTGGAGTTGGCAACCCTATATGCAAGCCGGTGCAGTGTCGTGGTTAGCATGCTGCACGGTGATGTAGGAGATTCGCATTCAAATCCCCTATTCCACCATGGGAAGACCACTGGGTGACCTCGGGCCAGTCACTCGTTCTCAGACTCACGTACTTCACAGTGCTGCCGTTGTGATGAAAATAGAAGGAGGGGAAGAACGATGCTGTAAGCACTGGGGTCTCCCCAAAGGGAAGGTATAAATAAACAGAAAGGAGAGTTCCCTTGTGATGCTTTGGATACAACTCAACATAAAACAGTGAAATGAAGCAATGTTTTGTAAGACCTGTGAGTCTTCGGCAGGGTCTCTTGAACACACACAAAGCTGCCTTATACTGAATCAGACCCATCGGTCCATCAAAGTCAGTACTGTCTACTAAGACTGGCAGTGGCTCTCCAGGTAGAGGTCTTTCATGTCACCTACTGGTAGATCCTTACTGGCGATGCCAGGGATTGAACCCGGGGCCTTCTGCATGCCAAGCAGAGGCTCTACTGCTGAGCCATGGCCCTTTAGGTGAAAACCAGAGTGAAGAGGATTCCAAGCATGTTCTGTTGGATTTTACATGCTGAGGGAGTCCTCTGCAGCTCTTACATCAAAAGTGTGTGTGATGGCGGAGGACAGGAAGGCCTGGCGTGATGTGGTCCATGGGGTCACAAAGAGTCGGACTCGACTGTGCGGCTGAATAACAAAAGTTCCTTCTGGGAAGGAGCACACACACACACACTGAAGTCTCTGCATGTCAGAAGCTGCTAGTATTCCCTCTCCTGGAGACTGAGTGATGGGAGAAAGCTTCACCTGTTGGATTTCTGTCACACAACTGCTCAAGGCACAGGAGTTTCTTAAAAGCAGCAATGTTGTGTAGAGGTTATAGCATAAGATCAGGACCTGGGAAACCCAGGTTTGAATCTCTACTCAGCCATTGGTTCACTGGTTAACCTTGAGTCAGGGAGCAGAGAGGATGAAGGAGAGCAAGGTGCAGAATAGAAAATTTATTTAACTCTTGTGTATCCCGATGCATTTCGCTGTAAGTTTAATCAGGGGATCATCTTCAAAAGGCTTCTGTAACTGGAAAACATCTGAAGAAGCTCCCCTGATGAAGTTTACAGCGAAATGCATCGGGATCCACAAGAGTGAAATACATTTTCTATTCTGCGCCTTGCTCTCCTTCGTCCTCTCACCGGTGCAGCCCTCATTTTTCCTAACCTTGAGACAGTCATTTTTTTCCTCAGCTGAACCCTACCTCACAGGGTTGTTGTGAAGGTAAAATAGAGGAGGTAAGAGTGATGTATGCGCTAAGCCCCTCAGAAGAAAGTGGGGATAAAATGTATTTTAAAAAATCTGGAAGAATGGGAATCCATTAGGCAATTAGCAACTTAAGCTAAAAGTGATAAAAGGCCATTTTAGAAAATACATTTGTATTAAGCCATATGAATTCTGGGTAACATATCCCCAACCATGAATGACATCCTCACAGACACACACGTCTGTCTTCCACTCATGTACTCCCAGTGCGATTGCTCTTTCACACGTTTACGTTTCAGTCCTTGATGAAATATTCTGTAAGTAACCGGTGTAGTGGATTAAGCGTCAGACTAAGATCCGGGAGAGCTCGTTTCAGATCCCCACTCTGCCATGGAAGCTTGCTGGGTGACCTTGGCCCGCTCACTTTCTCTCAAACTCAACTGCCTCCAAGAAAGACATTCCCAGGTAAACAGAGCTTGAGGAAGTTCTTGACCCTGCAGCAGAAATGCAGAGCGTTCTTTCCTCTCCCTGCCCAAGAAGTCTCACAGCCCTGCCCTGTTTTACACACACACACACAAACACACCACACATGGGCTTGGCAACTGTTCAGGCCTGATTCGGGCCATGCCTGTGTGCTGAAGCACTAACGACAGCAGAGTAACTAAAAAGGCAGGATGCTGAGGTAGGCAGGGAAGACAGACCACCAGGCAATGACAAGGAAGGAAGGCGGGCAGTGTGTACACAGTTTGGCTTACCTCCAGCTAATAGCAGAGGCCATATACGGAGGGCTCTTAAATGGCTGAGAAGGAAGTCTCAGTGCTTTTTTTGACAGAGATAAGAAGAAATGGGGCCTGAGATAAGAACAGTCCATCTGGTCTCACAGTGGCCCACCAGATGCCCCTGGAAGGCCTACGGGCATGGCACACAAGCCAAAAGCCTCCTCTTGCTGCTACTGTCCGTCCAGCAACTGGCATTCAGAGGTACACCGCCTCCCAATATGGAGGTCCCATCCAGCCACTGATGGGCCATGAAGTTGTCTAAAATCCCCTTTCAAAGCCCATGTAAGCTAGTGCCCATCGCCACATCTCATGGCAGCAAATTCCGCATCGAGAAACATGACAGCATGATGCATTTTCAGCCTGCCAGTAAATGAACCTGGAGTACAAACCACCACAGGGCATCAGCATGGCGGCACCAGTGGCACTTAGCCTTCCCGATGGCGCGAGAGCCCTTTTCTGGCTACTAGCTGTTTTAGGAGATACGTTTTCACACTTTTTCAGATAGGGGTCCCAGCATTAAGTCCAATCTGCAACACGGGTCCTACTATTTAATTTTAAAAAAATTAATTTTTGCCAAGTGTATCTCCTTCTGCTTTTTCTATCGCTTATCCTCATTCTCTTTCACACAGAGAAACACTCTCAGCCCCTCACTTCCTTCAAAACAAAACCTTTTAAAAGTCAGTATTTGGTGGTGGTGCCACTGGTATGACCCACCATGCACTGGAGGAGTGACACAGATGAGAGTCACAAACCCACAAGCTGAAGGGCCAGTGGTCTGACGGACCAGCCATGGGAGACCAATACATTAAACTTTCTCCCTGCCCACCATAAAATAGAATAAAAGCATCCCACTCCACCATTGCTTACTTCAGACTCATGCACGGAAAGGACCCCCTAGCCCTCCTCCAGAATAAGACAGCCCAGGTTCAACCAAGCCTCACTCTCTATCCCCCTGAATAAAGCCAGACCCCTTTCCCTAGCAACCTTCCCTAGGCTCCCGTGGAAGAAGCTCCTGTCTTCATTCCGCTGTTTTTTCGGCACATCTTCACCCCCCAGAGCCTTTGTTCTCCTCACTCTGCACGCCCCCAAACCCCATCTGATTTCTTCCCATCGTGCTTACGTCAAACGCAGAGCCATCCTGCCCCCGGGCTCATCCACCCTGCTTAATGTCCCATCATAGACTCTGGCCGACTTTCTTCAAAGTCCTTTATTGGGGTGGAGATCCCACCCCCTAGCAACATGATTTCTTCCCCAACGAAGACTCTATAGCATGATTCTTGGCCCCAAAACAGCGGCAACCCCCAAGGGCCGGACCGCTTCTGGGTCACCAGAAGGCCTCGTCTCTACTCGTCCGCCGCCTTCTGATCATGCTTGCTCTTATGGCATTGAGCTGAGCAGCTGAAGAGAGATCTATGTCCAGAAGGGACGACGGAGACGGGGGCAAGGGAACGCTGAGCATGGGGGACCGCCTGCAGCTCCGCAAATGATCTTGCGTCTTGGGCCTCAAGCGACAGGAGAGGGGGACAGGGGGCACGAGATCAGCGGGGAAAAGGATGGTGTGCAAGTTGTGTACGCGCAGCTTCGCACACGTATCCCTACCTGCCATTCGGACTGCCTTGCTGGGCACTTGCAAAAATACACCCGTGTTCTTGGCAGGTCGGTTAGTGGACTCCTGCAGGCTAGTGACCAGCTTCTGAGAGCGAGATTTGGCACAGAGCGGCACTGGCCGCAGCAGCATGTCCTCCGAGACAGCGACGGTGGTGGCCACGCTGTGTGCCATCAGTACCCTTCTGTTACGCGGTTCTGGTTTCAGCTTGCTAGGCAGCTTGAACGTAGCAGAAGTTGAAGAGGCCACATGGCCAGCCAGAGAGGTCTCCCTGGCTTTGTTCTCTTTCCCGGGGCTTGCCAGCACCGATGCCTTGCTATTTGCTGCTGCCCAGCATGGGCTAGGCCCCCGGGGGCTCCCGTGGCTTCCACGCTGGTAATAAAACTTTGGGGTCTTGGACTTGGTGTTCCTTGTGTCATCAGACACGGGGTTTCTTTGGAATGCAGTCCGAGGCTTCTTAACAGTGGATCCTTCGACCAAAAGGCTGATGCCAACGTACTGCGGAACCTCCACAGCTGCCTGAGTCAGGGAAGAAAAGAGAGAAACAGAATAAGACAGCTGAGTGCGGCAGGGAAAAGCAGGGATTCCCGTATCTTGGATAGCTGCTTACTGGCTCTGTTCAAGGGTCTGAGATAGGGTTTTAGGGTACGATTTGTGGAAGCACCAAGGGGGGAAATTAGCTCTGTGGTGCACCTGCATCTGATACAGACTGCGACACTTTGGATAATCTACCAGCAGAGGAGGGAAAGGGGCACTCTCTGCCCAGGGCCCAGCACAACCTGGAACCAGCCCTGCTCAGAGCATCTATTCCCCAAAATGATAGTTCAGAGTGGGTAGCTGTGTTAGTCTGCTGCAGCAAAATTAACCCTAAGTGCTTAAAGATGAACCAAAATTCATTCCCGCAGGAAAGTTTGACTCACAAAAAGATTATGCCAGGATAAAATCTGTGAATCTTTAAAGATGCCACAGGACTCTTGTTTGATATCCCCCCCCCAAAAAAAGGGGGTGAGCCATGTCACACGTGCGTGACTTCAGAGACTGGAGGCTGCTTCCAAATGGAGGTTTCTTCCTGCATGGAACGCAGCATGCCTCCATATTTGGAGGGAGCTATCTACCAGCAGAGGAGGGAAAGGGGCACTCTCTGCCTAGGGCCCAGCACAACCTGGAACCAGCCCTGCTCAGAGTGTTTATTCCCAAAATGATAGTTCAGAGTGGGTAGCCATGTTAGTCTGCTGCAGCAAAATTAACCGTAAGTGCAGTGGCACCTTAAAGATGAACCAAAATTCATTCCCGCAGGAAAGTTTGACTCACAAAAAGATTATGCCAGGATAAAATCTGTGAATCTTTTAAGATGCCACAGGACTCTTGTTTGATATCTCCCTCCCCCCCAAAAAGGGTGAGCCATGTCACACGTGCATGACTTCAGAGACTGGAGGCTGCTTCCAAATGGCGGTATTGCCTCCCAGCAAGTCCTTCCCTGGAGTTGCCTCCCAGCACTGGCATGGTGACTGACTGCCTCTGCATGTAGAGGTCCCCTTTAGTCACCATGGGTAGTAGCCACTGATGGACCTAAACCCCATGAATCTGTCTAATCCCCTTAAACCAGCTATGCTCATAGTTGTCACTACGTCCACTGGTAGTGATTTCCGCAATTCAATCACTCTTTGAGTAAAGAAAGTATTTCTTTTTGTTCCTCCTGAACCTACTACCCATCAAATTCATTGGGCGCCCCCGAGTTCTAGTATTTTGAGAGAGGTTGAGAAAGTTCTCTCTGTCCACTCTATCCTATGCATAATCTTATAGACCTCTATCATGTCCCGTCCCCTCCCTAGTCATCTCTTTTCTAAACTCTACAGCCCTTCCTCATAGGAAAGCTGCTCCAACCCTTTATCATCTTGGTTGCCTTCTTCTGTTGTCTGGGAGACCAAGGGCAAGCAGGCATCTCTTGGCGCTTACGAAGGGCCAAGTGGTACATGATGCTCAGATGCTCCTAAGCGTTTCCTTTCTTTTAAAAGGCAGGTGTGCGGAGCCCCAAATCAAGACTAAGTCTTTCCACCACCACCCATGCCAGTTTCTTAAGTTGAAATGGCCCCCTGTGTAGCTGCTACTTGCCCGGTGGTCCATCCCCCTCCAACTTATGTCCAGTTTGAACTTCTAAGTTCCTTAGGGAGGGGACCTGTCTCCTTAAGAGACATCAACAGAAACATCAGGTATTTAATACCGACCTTCCACAGCCTGCAGTTCAGCGTCTTAACCACTTGAGCCACCGCAGCTCCTTCCTCCTGAATCTACTACCCATCAAATTCATTGGGAGCCCCCGAGTTCTAGTATTTTGGGAGAGGTTGAGAAAGTTCTCTCTGTCCACTCTCTGTATCCTATGCATAATTTTATAGACCTCTACCATGTCCCATCCCCTCCCTAGTCATCTCTTGGCACTTACGAAGGGCCAAGTGGTACATGATGCTCAGATGCTCCTAAGCGTTTCCTTTCTTTTAAAAGGCAGGTGTGCGGAGCCCCAAATCAAGACTAAGTCTTTCCACCACCACCCATGCCAGTTTCTTAAGTTGAAATGGCCCCCTGTGTAGCTGCTACTTGCCCGGTGGTCCATCCCCCTCCAACTTATGTCCAGTTTGAACTTCTAAGTTCCTTAGGGAGGGGACCTGTCTCCTTAAGAGACATCAACAGAAACATCAGGTATTTAACCTGGGACATTTTGTGTTCAGAGCTTGTGTTCTACCTCTGAGCCACGTCCTTACCTCCAAGCCCTATGAGGAAAAGCTGAGCGACTTGGGAATGATTAGTCTGGAGAAGAGGAGGCTGAGGGGGGGACAGGACTGCTCTCTTTAGGTATTTGAAGGGCTGCCACTTGGAGGAGGGCAGGGAGCTGCTCCTGTTGGCAGCAGTCTTGCAAGAATGGGTTTAAATTAAGGGCGGGAAGGTACCACCTGGATATTAGGAAAAACATTTTTACAGTAAGAGTTGTGCAGCAGTGGGACCAGCTGCCTAGGGAGGTGGTGAGCTCCCCCTCACTGGCAATCTTCAAGCAGCGGCTGGACAAACACTTGGTCAGGGAGGGTCTAGGGTGATCCTGCAGTGAATAGGGGGGTGGACTAGATGGCCTGTATGGCCCCTTCCAACTCTGTGATTCTAGGATTCTATGAATTTAACCAGGCAGCCACACCTAAAGCTACCTGAGGGTTGTGCTGGAAGAACACAAGGAAAGGGAAGCACAGCAGCAGAGGGCAAATAAAAGCAGTCTGGAAGGATGCTGCCTGACTCCCTTTTCAGAATCCCATGCTGGTCTATAAAGCTTGGCAGTCAAGGCCTCTAACCTGTTTGTAGATAAGCTCAAAGCTTCCTGTGCTGCAGGTGCGGTCGTACTTGCGGTCGATGACCACCCGTAGGGTGTCCTCCTGCACACTGGCGCACAGCCGAGTAGTGACGGCAGTGGAGGCGGCCATGGTCGGGCTGGCGTTGATCTCAATCAGCCACGGCTGGTAGTTTTCTCCAAAAAGGAAGTCCGCGCCGTACAGCTCGAAGCTGTTTTTGCGGAACTCAACCAGGTCTTGTGAAGTTTGCATGGCGTGAATGATGGCGGCCTTCATGCCGGGCACGATCACCTTTGACCAGGCATCTGGTGCCCCCACCTGCCGCAAGTGGACCTGGAACTGCTCTGACGACCACATGTTGTCGGGGGGCAGCTCTGCAGGTTCAGCGAGTTCTCATAGTGCTTCTGGATGGAGTTATTGCAGAGGTGGATGGAGCTAGGGGGGGAGAGGAAGACGGGATCAGAACCAAGAGGTGGCCAGTCGGATGCAGTGGTCAACCATCCTGGATTTGAACAGGGGAGATGCAGGTTCAATCCTTGCTATGATGCTCTCCATCTCTGGTGCACAGGAGTCTCTCATCTCTGCCTGACTTCTTGATGTTCCTCTGCCTGACTCGCTTCTCAGAGATCCCATGCCACTGTTCCCATCAGCATCCTCACTGCCATTTTAACAAATCCTGCTTAGCTTCCAAGAGCTGACAAAATCAGGCTAGCCTGGGCTATCCTGGTCAGAGAGGGTAATACCTATGGCATGCATACAGTACACCTTGTACACAGTAGTATAGCCCACAGCCACTGTCCCTTCATAAAGCACTTTCCTGCACTATTCTGTTACAGTATGGCCCTATTACTTTTATAGAAATGCCCTCCTGAACAATTTTGTCAACCAAAGGCCCTCCTAAAAAGCTCTGCCCTGCATTTCTTTAGGAACTACAGAAGGGGAAGAAGCAGCCCCACTGAGAGCTACACAGAAATTTGTCTCTGTGTTGAAGCACCCCGAACCAGATATTGGCAAATCTTTTTGCATCATAACATCTACTCTGTCAGCATCTGTCTAACATTGCAGGCAGATGCCCTTCCCAGACTATTGATTTTAAGATCTGTGGTTCTCTATGTATTCTGGGATGATAAGGCAGATAATGCTGCAAGAAGATTTGTACAGAGTTTTAGTGGACTGAGCAGACAATGCAGCACATCTCTGTTTGTCCCTCTCATATGTGTGCAGGCGAGCATGTGAGCACAGACACACACAGAAGAAAAATAAAACTGGCAAAACTCACGTGTCCAGGTTTCTCAGGGAAAAAGGCTGCGTAGAGAAGCGGATGTAACTCTGCCGGTAGAACCAGATGGTAAGTGGGTTCCAGTCGGTTACCAGAAACCACTGGCGCAGGTCAAATTTTGTGCCGAATATGAGCAGGGGTGTCTCGATATATTTCTGCACCACCCACTTGCCATCCTTGACAATCATGGGGTCGCAGTCCACTAGCTTCACGATATCCTCCAAGCGGTCCATACACATTATGCCTGTTAGAAACTCCGTCATAACACTGTGTGTGCCTTTCCCACCCTGCCTCTGTTCCCAGCTCACCTTGGAGCAGGGCTTTGAAAGCGCTGGCATCTTTCTGCAAGGCCCAAACTGGATATGCATTCTTCCGGAACTGATGCCTCAGAGATGCTCAGGCATTATATTCCCATGACCCATATATTCCCATGACCCAACTATGGTTCTCAGGTTGCCACCCCAGCCACCCTGGCAGTGACAAAAGCCAGTTTGATATAGTGATTAAGAGTGCAGACTCTAAACTGGGAGGAGAAGAAGAAGAGATTGAATTTATACCCCACCCTTCACTACCTGAAGGAGTCTCAGGGCAGTTTACAATCCTTTTCCCTTTCCCTCCCCGGAACAGACACCCTGTGAGGTAGGTGGGGCTGAGAGAGCTCGGAGAGAACTGAAAGAACTCAACAGCTCTGAAAGAACTTATGACTGACCCAAGGTCACATCAGCAGCTTCACGTGGAGAAGTAGGGAATCAAATCCGGTCCTCCCAGATTAGAGTCCGCGCTCCTAACCACTACACCACACTGGCTCGGTCTGATTCCTCACTCCTCCACATGCAGCTGCTGGTGTGACCTTGGGTCAGTCACAAGTTCTCTCAGAGTTGTTCTCTCAAGAGAAGTCCTCAAAAGAGCTCTCAGCCCCACCAACCTCACAGGGTGTCTGTTGTGGAGAGGGGAAGGAGACTGTAAGCCGTTCTGAGACTCTGAGTGAAGGGCGGTGTATAAATCCAACTCTTCTCTCTTCTCCTTCTAGGTCACAAAGCAGCATGCCCTGGCATTTACTGCCAACGAATATCCACTCTATGGGTAGGAAATATCAGCACTTCACCCTCCTCCAAGCAGCGTGCTTTGGAAACCTCATGGCTGGTCACGCACTCTATCCTGGGCTGCCCTTGAAGGCAAACCCAGAGCCAGCATACCGTTGGTTGACATACCGTTGTCAGGGGGCGGCCAACAGCAACACATCTTGCCCACTTTAAAAGAGCTGCACTGGCTGCCCGTTTGTTTCCAAGTTCCATTCAGGGGTCTGTTTGTGACCTTTAAATAGCCCAAGACCTGTGGGACTGGCTCTCCCCATATATTTTCATGACCCAACTATGGTTCTCAGGTTGCCACCTCAGCCCCCCTGGCAGTGACCAGTCATATGGAATGAGCTCCCTAAGGAGGTGAGAGAAATGCAATCTTTACATGCTTTTAGGAAGCACTGCAAGGCCATTTCATCTGCTAAGGCTTTTAACGGGTAAAGGTATAGGCATGGGGAGAGGCAGAAGGGATTAGTAGAGCTATTATTGTTGTTATTATTATTATACTTATACCCTGCCCTTTCAGGACAGCTTACAACATAAAACCTGTAAAAAAACCCCAATAAAACCAATAAAACAGCAGATGGCGCAATAAGCAACAGCAAAAAGAACCCATGCCTCATGTCAGGTGGGTACAGGTACTCCCAAAAAACTCCATTGTCCAAGTAATGTTATCTAAAGCAGCATAAACAGGGGAGGCCAGAATGGTTGAACATCCACCGCCTCAACTGAAACACAGTTTGTATGTTTAGAATTTGGATTCGTAAGCCACCATGAGCCACAAAGAAAAGGCAGGGTATAAATATTTTAATAATTTATTTTCTTGCTTTATTCTTCATTTATACCCCTCCTTTCTCCCCAGTGGGGAGGGGACCCAAAGCAGCTTACGTGGTTCTGTCCTCCACTTTCCCCTCACTGTGAAGAAGTCGGTGTGCACACGAAAGCTTATACCCAGAATTAAACACTGTTGGTCTTAAAGCATTCACTGGACTCAAACTTTGTTCCAGTGAAGGTGGGTTAGTCTCAGAGTGTGTAGCTGGCCAAAGGTCATTCAACAAATTTCCGTGAGAGAATGGGAATTCAGACCTAGGTCTTGCAGATCCTAGTCAATCTAACCACTATGAATCACTGGTTTTGCTCATGGGGATGGCAACTAAGGTAACATCAGGAGACTTGTGTACCGTGCTTTAGCGTGTGCAGTCACCATTATCTCCAAAAAAGCACAAACAGTGTTTGGGAAGAGGTGTTACTGATCAAGGAACAACCCCAATGTGAACAAACCTTTAGCAGAGTGTGTTATTCAGTCTCTATCTTTGGTGTGGGTTTTTTTTTTTGGATATCAACAGGACCCTTGGCGGGTGGCGCCTTCATTTCTCTTACCTCTGCCTCGTGACTTGGCTCCAGGCTTCACAATCCAGATGTTTTTGTCACCTTCCATGTCCAGCTGTGGGACCACTTTTGCCAGCCGATGCAGGATATCTTCACACCGTGCAACATGGCCGCCCATCTGCACAATCTGCGCTCCCTCGCTGCAACCATAAACACTTATTCGAGGAATTTCTCCATCTTCCTGTCCCCACGTAGTCTGAGCAGACAACTATTCTAGTCCCAAAGTTTATTTTAGGCTCACTGACAGCTTGGAAGGAAAAGGCGGGGGGGGGGGGGGGGGGTGTTTCGGAATCAGTGTGACTCGTGGTTGCAAAACCCAGAATGTGGGCTGTAGTGAATTATCAGAATCTGAGTATTGCACTAGCAAAACTATGCGGGAAATTAAAATCTTAGATGCCGGGGACCATTTCAGCGACGCTTCTATGAACCTGACGCTTCCATATGCAGCTCTACGCCTGGGATCTAATTCCTATAATACCCTTTGTTCACTGCTTAGCTTCCCTCAACATTTCACAGTTCCCAGCCTCTCCTCCATTGTTTACAATACATAAGGAAAAAAGATTTTAATTCTGGAAGGGGGGGGGGGGGAGGCAAACAGAACAAAACATAGCATTAAGCAAAAAAACATGTTTTATATAGAAACTCACTACATTTTGCATGACAGATTAATGTTTTGCACTGGGACATACTGCTCAGTCACTGATTCCTAAAAACCTAATATTTGAAATGAAAGACTGGTCTGGACTCTCATCATTATTGGTGGGGAAGGGGAGGGGGGGTTAACCCTGAAAACATGTAATTTCTCCTAAGTGTTTAGAAACCAAGCCTCATTTGGCCAGGTCTTCTGCTAGTTTTGGAACGCAAGCTGTCTGCCCAGCACACATTTCAGTGCTTTCCTGTGTTCCACACTCCTCTCCCCCATCTCTGCATCCCCTTTCTTGTGTCCTATAGGTGCTGTTTATTTTCTTGTTTGTGCTAGAAATCCCTCCCCACAGAGTTTAGGCGGGTTGTTAAATAATGAGGAATGCTTAAAGGGGGCAAGGAAAGAAAAGAAGGAAGCGAGATAAGAGGAAGAAGAAAGGCAAAAGTGGCAGAGAAGGTAATGCTATACCAAGACCGTGGGTCTTGCTCAACCAAAGTAGCATGTATAAAAATATCTGGTTCAATCCAAGTTTCTGTTCTGTTACTGACAGAGGCTTGGACCCACCGGAGGATTTCCATGGATGCAAGAGGGAGAGATTTATGCCAAGAGGGAGAGAATTATGCCAATTTACTCCTCCCCATACAGACCCCAGTTCCCCACACACACTGCTCCTGAGGGTCCTCCGGTCCCCTACAGCAGTATTTCGAGGCAGCGTTTTCGGCTGCAGTGGGAGGGGGTAGCAAGAAAACTGAATGTCATTAACAAACATCTCTCCTATCAGCAGAAATGTCTGGAACAGCCAAGTCCCAGCCTTCCTCTGATCAAGGAGGAGTTTTGCTCCAGAGGAGGAGGAGGAGATTAGATTTATACCCTGCCCTTCATTCGGAGTCTCAGAGCAGTTTACAATCTCCTTTCCCTTCCCTTCCCCACAAAAGACAACCTGTGAGGTAGGTGGGGCTGAGAGAGCTCTTTCGAGGACTGCTCTTGTGAGAACAGCTGAGAGAACTTGTGACTAACCCAAGGTCACACCAGCAGCTGCATGTGGAGAGCAATCAAACCCGGTTCTCCCAGATTAGAGTCCGTGCTCTTAACCACTACACCAAACTGAAGAAGCATTCCATCCACAGAAAGCTCCTTGCATCAGAGAAGCAGCTCCACTATGACCGAAATGGGAACTTTGGATCCGATCATTTACGTGAACGCATCCTAAAATGCCATTTGCAAAATCTGGGCCTTCTGGTCTCAGAAACTAGGGGGGGATTTATTTCTCATTCCCCATATACTTACTGGACTACCTGGTAGTAGCCTTGTAGAAACTGTTCCCAGTGGGCACTTGTCATTAGCAGGGGAGACCCGACCTCTTTGTCAATGTCTTGGTGCCTCAGGCTGCTCAAATGCTCCTCACAGGCACGGATGGCAGTCTCCAGCAGTCGGGATGACAGGGTGGGCTTTTTCTTGTGACTGGGGAATGGCTTGGCTTCTGCAAAACAGAGACGTGAGTCAGGGTCACTAGGCGGCTGCAAGACTGCCTGTGGGTGGAGGGAAGATGGAGCAAGGATAGGTGTTGCAGGTGGTGCCGACTCTGAGCCAAAGCAGCCAGTGTTAGCACCCATGGTGGAAAAGAGGAGACACAGGTTGCTTTTGTAAAAACGGTTTAAATTGCTATATTTGGGGTCCTTAGAGTTGAGTCCTATAGGTCTTAGACATCAACAAGACATGCAGGGTCTAAGCTTTTGAGAGTCAGAGCTCCCTTCATCAGACAGCAAGAGAGCTCTATTGGAAGCTCATCCCCTGAAAATCTTGTTGTTCTCTAAGGGGCTACTGGATTCGAAACTAGCTCAGCAGACCAGTGGCCAAGTTAATGTAATGAAAATGGCAAGTCCTGTGAAGACTGAACAATTTTATAGGCATGTGTTTTTGTAGGCCTGAGCTTATCTTAAGAGAGGCTCATGAAGGAGGAGGAGGAGATTGGATTTATACCCCGCCCTTCACTCAGGTCTCAGAGTGGCTTACAATCTCCTTTTCCTTCCCTTCCCCACAACAGACAGGTGGGGCTAAGACAGCTCTTTCGAGGACTTCTCTTGAGAACAGCTCTGAGAGAACTTGTCACTGACCCAAGGTCACACCAGCAGCTGCATGTGGAGGAGTGAGGAATTAAACCTGGTTCTCCTAAATTAGAGTTCACACTCTTAACCACTACACCAAGCTAGCTCTCAAAATTTTAGGGCCTGTTCATGTTTTAAAACTTCTCTTGCTTCACTCACATTTGTAGTATCAGTGTAAAATGTAAATCAGACAGAATGCTCACTTGCACTGCAAATCGCTCTCCTCAGTTTTCCCTCCTGCATGAACAAGACTGATCGCAGCCACAGTGGCAAAGCACATGCAGTGCCAAAACTCTAGAGGTTACTGCCTCAATGCAGGGTAAATATTTTGAAGAGAGAACCACTGTCTCCACTTCTGGAGCCACTGCACTGTTATGTATTGGCATTGAATCATTCCTGATTGAATCACCCCAGAGACTGGCTGAGCTTAGAGCACAAGAACAATAGCCTACCAGGATTCTGAAAGTAACCAATCTAGTTGTAATGTTATGTAAATAGCCTATCACTGGGAGTGGGGTGTGTTTGGGTGTGGCAATTGCATGCTATTTAACAGAGCTGAGGCTCAGGAGCTTCGTCTTGCTCTTGCTGAAATCATAAATAAAGTTGAGCTGATCACTAGACTTGAGCCTGCTCATCCATGGAACCAGAGGTCCATCAGTGGCTATTAGCCACAAGGTATAGATAGGGACTCTGGGGCAAGTGGTGCTCTGTCTTCTTGGTGCTTGGGGGGGGGGTCAACAGTGGGAGGGCTTCTAATGTCCTGGCCCCACTGGTGGAACACCTGATGGCACCTGGTATTTTTGGCCACTGTGTGACGGAGTGTTGGACTGGATGGGCCTTTGGCCTGATCCAACATTGGCGTCTCTTATGTTCTTATGTTCTAACCCACTATTTAACAGCACAGAAGCCAGTTAGCAGCTCATACGCTAACTTCCAGTAGACACAACCAAGAGACTTTTGATCCTCACCAGGCAGCAGGGGCATACAGAGGAAACAGAGCGGGTGTAAAGTTGATACGGGATAGACATTAAAAAGGGAAAATAAGTAACTAGCACTTCCTAGTCAACATTTGATCATTGAATATGTTGTTCAACATGTGGTGAGATATCACATATGAGTGTGGGTACAGAGTTTTTAACTCACATTTTACTGACTTTCAACTCCCAGATACATTTGCATAAGAGAAGAGCATTCACTGCGAGCTCATTTTCCAATTTAAGCTCCCAACAAGGACTATATCTCTAAAACTGCCACTACCAAGCTGTAGTGACCCCTACATTTTAATATGGCTCAAGACTGCCCCCTAGAACATCTGTGATCTTGCAATTCTAGGGATTACATTAGACTAACCTATTCAAGCCCATTCCATAGAGATAAATCAAGATGGGTGGCTGTGTAAGTCTGTCTGTAACAGTAGAAAAGAGCAAGAGTCCAGTAGCACCTTAAAGACTAACAAAATATGTGGCAGGGTAGGATCTTCCGTGAGTCACTGCTCACTTCTTCAGATACTATTCCATGTTGGACTACCTTGCCAAACTGTTATGTATCGGGACTGAATCATTCCAGGTCTGTCACACCAGAGACTGGCTGAGCTTGGAGCACAAGAACAATAGCCTACCAGGACTCTGGAAGTAACCAATCAAGTAGTAATCAAGTGTAAATAGCCTATCACTGGGAGTGGGGTGTGTTTGGGTGTGGCAATTGCATGCTATTTAACAGAGCTAAGGCTCTGGAGCTTTGTCTTGCTGATCACTAGACTTGAGCCTGCTCATCCATGGAACCCACTATTTAACATAAACTTCATCATTTTTAGACAAAAGGGTAACCAGTTGGGATGGAACCAACTGTTCATCATGATAGCTCTGAGACATTAATAGTGACTTGGTGCTACTTGACAGAAGGGACCATCATTTTGGTAATTCTCTGGTTGCTATTGTTAGTGTCTGACATCAGAGATGGGGATTTAGATTGGATTTGCTAAATCAGGCAGTCACTCTTAAGAGAGGAGGCTGACTTGGGTGCTGGCTGGAGACTGAAAATGTGAACTCCTGATGGGTTTATTTTAAGCACAGAGATTCCCGCCAGCTGCACTTACCTGGAGGCTCCTTGTTATCAGGAGGCTCGTCCTCATTAGTATCCACCGATGAAAATAAGGGAGATTTGCGCCAATATCGTCTCACCACCACTTTGAGAAGGCTCCTGGCTGCGGTGAGCTGGAAATCCTCTACCACAAGACAGAAAGGAAGTGGAGAGACAGACAGACAGACACAGAGAGAACAAGCATTACACTCGTTCTGTACCACCCCCATTCCCAGGACCTGAGGAGGGTAACAATAATTAAGAATGGGACACACAGCCTTGTAAAAATTTTATTCAGCTACCGCTTCATATGACCCTGATTATGGATAGCGCAGGCTAGCCCGATCTTGTCAGATCTTGGAAGCTAAGCAGGGTCAGCCCTGGTTAGTGTTTAGACAGGAGACCACCAAGGAAGTCCAGGGTTGTTATGCAGAGACAAGCCACCTCTGAATGTCTCTTGCCTTGAAAAACCTTTGGGGTTTCCATAACTAATTTGCAACCTGATGACACTTCAAACACACACACACACACACACACACACACACACACACACTTCATATATGAGTGGATGACAACCATTCCATCTACATGAGATGAATAATATTGATTAAAAAGTAATCCAGCCAAGGACTAGGAGAGCTTTCAGGAAATGTCCACTCAACCTCATTCACACTTAATGCAAATGACACAAGAGCTCCTTCCCTGTGGCAAAATGCCAGGCCACTGCAGCAAGTGCTTCTCTCTACCCCATGCATAATTTTATAAAGCTCTTTCATGTCCACTCATAGTCATCTTTTTATCGAAACTGAAAATTCCCAGACTCTTTCAACTTTCCTTGTAGGGTAAGTGCAATAACCCCATAATCATCTTGGCTGCTTTCCTGCTTCACTTGTCATGTGGTTGCCCACTAATGCAATTTAGAGAGCTCCTTCTGTAGCTTTTCACAGTCCACCTTTTTTTCCACCATCCTGAATATTTTGGTATCATTTGCTAACATGGCCAGTACACTGCTCTGCCCCCAATTTCAAATCATTTATGAACAAATTAAATAGCACTGATCCCTGTGGGACCTCACTGCTGACTTCCTTGCATCGTGAGAACTGTCCATTTATCTCTACTCTCCGTTTCCCATCATTTAACCAATTTTTAATTCAGATGTTTAATTCAATCAGAAAACAGCCCCCAAGTTTTGGGGGACAGGTGATTGGAACAGGAATGGCAATGCTGGAGAAGTTTTAAAAAGTGTAGCTGGTATGGGTCTGTGTATTGTTCTAATAATTATTGTATGGCATTGTGTGTAGTATAGCCAGGAGATCCTAAGATTGCCTGGCAGCCAGAAGTTCTAGCTCATTTAGTGTTATGTACCACTAGGTGGCAAGCTAGACCTGTTTTTAAGGCAAGAGGTGGTTCAGAGGTGGTTTTGCCATGGACTGCCTCTGCATCACAGCACTGGTATTCCTTGGAGGTCGCTTATCCAAATACTAGCCAAGGCTTAGCTTTCGAGATCTGTTCTTGAGGATGCAAGAGGAAGACACAGCCACTATGGAGCATGAATGGCTTGCCACATACAATTTGGAAAGGTGCCACCAAAAATGTGACAGGTACTGGCAAAGGAACTCCACACACAAAAATTATATCAAGCTTGGGATTCTTTTTCTTCGGTGGGGGGTGGGCAAACTACATGTCTGCAGTCATGAAGCTCTTTGTTTGGGTTGCCGAAGCTTCAGAATTGCTGCAATTGTAGATGCAAGGAGTCTCCCCCTGCCCCACATACACACAGAAGGCGAGCTCTGTGAGATGTCTGGAAGCATCTTAGTCTGCAGCAATGTCAGAGCTTTAAAAGCAGGTGTTGATCTGATTTGTCCCCTTGGATGGGAGACCATTGGGAACCCCATGGAGATCCTCAGTACCATAGACACATTCAATTAATTTATTTTTTAAGTAGTGCACCGTGGGGTTGCAAAGAGTCGGACTCGACTGTGCGACTGAACAACAACAACAAAATGCACTTTGGACAGCACTTTGGACTTCTTACCAATGAAGGCATGTTTTTCATCCGCAGCTCCCAGTCGGTAACAGCGTGGAAAAAAGGTATCGGCATCAGCCTGGTCAAACCATGGCAGGTTTCGTAGATTAAGGCACAGTCCTACCTGAGAAAGAAGGGACACCTTCGCAGCTTTGCAGGGACACCTTCTTGATTCTACTCCCACCCCCTCCCACACACACACACTCCACACTCTTCTGTCATTTTACCCAGATCTTGTAGTGCCACTGATTCAGGCTCATTCGCACAACTAACAATGGCATGTACACACAGTTATTCATACAGCCCAGATTTTTAAAGAAACGGGACTCTGCCCACCTTGGTGGTAAAGGTGCCGGCCTTGGCATAGTGGTTCATCATCTGGTCCTTGCGCAGAAGGCGGCAGTCAATGACATCACGGCGGTTGGTCCAGATGAAGTAGGGGATCTGGTTGCGAAGCAGCCTTGACTGTCAGTGAAAGAGGAAAAGTTAACTAGTGGGTGAGCCCTGAGCAATGGCACCTCTAGGTAGCACAAGACGGGAGTGACAGAATTGGGTGGAAAAACCAGGTGCAGGCAACAGTACAAAGGAAGTGAAATAAGGGTTGATCATACTGGGTGGATGGACAGACATGAAGATTGAGCACTGAAGGCAGGGATGCCAAGTCTGGGCAGGGAAATCCCTTGACATTTGAGAGTGCAGCCTGGGGAGGGGAGGGAGCCCTGAAGGATACAGTGCCACAGGGTCCACCATCCAAAGCAGCCATTTTCCCCAGAGGAACTGATCCCTGTAGTCTGGAGATGAGTTGTCATTCCTGGAGATCTCCAGGCCCCACCTGCAGGCTGGCAACCATAACTGAAGGGAGTGTCGTGCCAAGATTACCATGAGGCTATAGGTGCCATCAGCATCCTCCTCCTGTTCATCTTCCTCTTCTTCTTCTTCATCTGTGGGATAAAAAAAATCAGAAACCCAACAGGAAAAGTAAGAATGACCAAGGTAACCCACACTGCGGCAGGTGGCTTCTTGTATACATTTGAAACTGCTTCCCCCCCAATTAAATGATGACGATGCATTCATGCAAGGATGGGAACTTATTTATCTGTACTTATTTATCGTTATAAGTTCTCTGCTGCCACTTCCTGTAGGAATAATCCCATCAAAACAAAGAGGACTAGAAAACTACAGTAATTTCCATACACATTAAAAAAATAATTCAAACAATTCAGCAAGCAAATAAACAAACACACAAAATGAATTCAAACAAGTCAAGCAGGTGTCTGGACAAGAAGCACATATTTTTTTTTTTAATCAGTCAGGAAGAACAAAACATGGTGCCATAAAAACAAATTCAAACAATTCAGCAAACATACAAAATGAATTCTAACTCAAGAAACATTTCCTAAAACAGTCAAAAAGAACAAGACATGGTGCCAGACAAGAAGATTAACTCAATTCAAATGTCTGAACAAAATACAAATGTCTTTTACACCATTTCTTAACGAAAACCAGGCAGCCCTCTAAGACTAATCAGATTTCTAAGTCCTGTTAGAAATTCCCCCCACCACACAGATCAAAAAAATTTTTAGGGGGGGGGACAGCAAATATTAGAAAAGAAAACCCCCAGGTTTGCGGAAAATAATAAATGCGTCTTTAAAAATTTTTGGGGGGTATGTGTGTTTTTAAATGTGCTTTTAAGGCTTTGGGGGGGGGGGGGGACCCAGATGTGTGAATCTAGTGCTCCAATAAGAAAATGTCACCCAACTTTGGCTGGCTGCCACTGGGGAGAAAAACCAAATTATAAATACGTCTCCATGTGCCAGCTACAGACTTCCTCTTGCCACCTTCTGGGTGTTTACCTACTAAAGATCACTGAACGCCTGATACTGAGTACAGAACAAGCTTTCTCTGCAGTTGCTCTCCCTATACAGAAATCTGGCCCCCCGCTGTGATGCTTTTGCAAGGGTTCTTTCTGACAAAATCTCCCTTGAAAGCTTATACCCTTAAAATCTTGTTGGTCTTTAAGAAGCTAAAGGTAAATGTAAAGGTTTCCCCTTGCTCATAGCCCAGTCATAGCTGACTCTAAGGGGCCGTGCTCATCTCCGTTTCTTAATCGAAGAGCCAGCGCTGTCCGAAGACGTTTCCATGGTCATGTGGCTGGCATGACTATACGCCGAGGCGCATGGAACGATGTAACCTTCCTACCGAAGCAGTACCTATTTATCTACTTGCCATTTCTTGCTTTCTAACTGCTAGGTTGGCAGGAGCTGGGATCCCGTCATACAGCACTAGGGTTTTGAACTGCCAAGCTACCGACCTTCCGGTCTGCAGCTAAGCGTCCTAACCACTGAGCCACCGCAGCCCCCTTTAAGAAGCTACTGGACTCGAATCTTGCTCTTTTATTTACTTACCAATCATTAATAAAAATATCACTAGACTTAAAAGGTGATCCATGACAAATACAGCACAGATGGGCAAAACTGCTGTTTTAAAGATGAGTATACCATCCTGTTTTCATTTGAGAATGTTCTGATTTCAAACCTTCTACCAAACACCCATCCTGCAGTCACTCCATTTGCTGTCCATCAGTTTTTACCATGTTCAATTCAAAGCCATGCATGACCTTGGACCTCCATATCTTCTGTATCACCTCTCCTCCCATATCCCGCCATGGCAGCTCCGCTCATCTGTTCAGGGCCTTCTGCGGATGCAGGGCAATGTGCTTTCTCTGTTTGGCTCCCAGCTTGCAAAATGGTCTGCCGGGGTGGGGTGTGTGTGTGTGTGTTCAGGAGTTTTTCCACATGCCTGTCATTCCACAAGCTCTGTAAAACAGAGTTGTGCTGAAGGCCTTTCTGTAGGGCTATGCTGTAACAGAAAGGTTCAGGAGGGCACTTTATACAGGAAATGGGGCTGCAGACTATACCGCTGGATATATGATGTATTTATCCGCTGCACATTTTACCCTCTTATCACTGTATCGTTTTCTACTGATATAATACCATCTTTCTGCATTGCACCTGCTCTCTGTTATCGTGTCTAGTATTCTTTGTTCAGATTCCTGTAATCCCAGTCCTATTACATAGTTTATTAGACGTCTCATCCTATTGATTGTATCGACTTACATGGTGTGATCTGCTTTGAGTCACACTGGGAAAGGTAGACTATAAATATACTAAATAAATATGTAAAATCAATAAAGGGCAGACCTGATGAGTGCAAATGCACAGAGAGAGAGAGAGACAAGCATGCAAAAATTCCTTTTAAGGCTTCATAGGAAAAAGAGAGAGAGATTAAGTTGTCCTGGTATCATTGATATTATCCAGTGCTTGTAAACACAATTCCTCACTGTCATTATAACATAACCATGATATGGATGGACAGGATACGTAATGGAACAAGGCTGCTATTAGACAACCTCTTTTGTCTCTCTACCTTGGTACTATCCAGCACCGAAAGAAAAGCAAATACTACCTCCTTTACTGTGTCAAATTTCATGTCTGGAATATTTTTTCAAATCCTAAAGTGCCCCACTTTCCATTTTTAACACATTTGTGTCTCTGTGTTAACTGTTGTCAAGTCGCAGCTGATTTATGGTGACCCCAGCAAGGGGCTTTCAAGGCAAGTGAGAAGCAGAGGTGGTTTCCCATTGCCTTCCTCTGCAGAGTCAAGGAAGGTCTCCCCTTCCAAGTTCTGACCCTGCTTAGTTTCTGAGATCCGACGAGATCGGGCTATCCCTTCTCTCCCAACCAGTGTTCCCTCTAAGCTGAGTGAGTGTGAGCTAGCTCACAGTTTTTTAGCCTCCGGCTCACCCATTTTTGCCTTAGCTCAGGAAGGATGGCTCCAGAGCAAACTAATTTATGCAGCAGCCAAATAGCTCGTTCACAACTTTAATGCCAGTAGATCACAAAGTAGAATTTTTGCTCAGAAGACTCCACAGATTAGAGGGAGCGTTGCTCCCAACCCATTTGTACATAACTGTAATTTTTGATTAAGTATCTAAATGAATCAAACATGACCAGAAATGCTGATGTTGCACATTCTCCATTACGACAGAATTCTCCATTACAGAATACCAGCCGCATTATTTATACCACCAGAGGAGAATTGGGATGCATAGCTCTCTTCCATTATCAGTGGTGCTACATCAGCACTTTTGTTTATGGAAACATTCAAGCATTAAAGTAATTCTTAGTGACAGAGAATAAGCACTGTGGTACATCAGTCTTCTCTGTGCTCATGTAAATAAGCAGTGAGTCTCAGGGAAGGTAGAAGGCTACATGCGGGCACAAGAAAATTGGACACTGGCTGACATTCTTGCAGAACATACCATCATCTGGTGCATCGCTATCATCTCCATCTTCCTGCTCTCCGTCAGGCATGCGCACCCGCTTACTAGCAGGCTTAGGCAACTTGGGAAATTTTCTCTCCACCCAGCCTCTGCCACGCAGTCGTTTTCGGATCACAGGATAAGGGCCATGTACCATGAAGATCTTCCTTTGCTGGAGAGAAATGGGGAGGATTAACAACATTGCATTGCAGGAAGGCTAACAGACCAGGTGAAACTGCACCTCACTATGGTAGCCAATCACAAGTGGAACATACGCCAGCAGTGTGATGCCACTGCAAACAAGGCTAATGTGATTTTAGGTAGTTTTAATAAAATCACAATATCTAAATCATGAGAAGTAATGCTAGTCAGACTTCATGTGGAATTCTGGATGCTCCCCTTCGCCAAACTGGAAACAGGTCCAGAGGAAGGAAGTGAAGATGGCTGGGGCCAGGGCCAGGGCCAGGGCCAGGGCCAGGGCCAGAAAATAACCCTGTGAAGAAAGGCTGAAGAAGAGAGGGAGAAGAGATTGGATTTATACCCCGCCCTTCACTACCCAAAGGTGTCTCAGAGCGGCTTACAAATTCCTTTCCCTTCCCCTCCCCACAACAGACACCCTGTGAGGTGGGTGGGGCTGAGAGAGCTCTGACACAAACTGCTCTTTTTCAAGGACAGCTGTGCCAGAGCTTGTGACTGACCCAAGGTCACATCAGCAGGTGCAAGTGGAAGAGTGGGGAATCAAACCGGGTTCTCCCAGATTAGAGTCCGCGCACTTAACCACTACACCAAACTGG